CTGAGTGAAACAGCTGAGAGGAGTTGAAGGGAAGATTTATAGATTTGTAGAGATATATAGACAAAATTGATTGTGGGCTCCAACTGGAGGCCCTCTCCCACAGCCTGAGAATAAAGAAACATCTAATGAAACTGAAAGCAATACAAGCCACACATAGTAATTGAGCGATATCAATAATTACAGCATACAACTAAATTTAATTTCTGGAACTCAGTACTTCAGGCTACTGTTGAAATCTAAAGCTTAGTATTTCAACAGGAAGATTCAGCTCCTCTGCAGGATACTGAAATTGGAGAGTATACAAACCCGTATCCAAAACAACCCAAACAATTTCCAAAGCAAACATTGCCTAAGTATCACCACCTACTTGCTACAGTGCAGAACTGGTCAGAGCCTCCCTGCAACCACCAAGTGAACTAAATAGCCTTGCCACTCAGGTCAAATAGAAAAGCAAATTCCTCCAACACAGAAGAACAAGTGCCTTCATTATATATTACTCTGAGAACAAGACAACTTAGCAAAACTGCAAAATTACATCACTGGAACAGAATGGAAGACACAAAACAAAATTCTCCAATTATGAGCAGAGAGAAGCAAAAACTGGAAAAAAATTAAATAAATCATTATCACAACAGTTTTAGTGCACTCTAAACTTGGAAATGGTGGAAAGCAGCTAGCATTACTTCCTTTCCCACCTTGCTGTTCCTTAGCCCTGCTCAAGAGAAAGGGCCAAACCCACTGCCAGAGGCAGGAGCTATGCCAGCTGCTACTACCATTTTCATAGATACTGGAAGAGCCAGGGAGAGGAGGATAACCAAGAGCATGTACAAGCTGTGTAGGTCCTAGCATGACCATCAACAACAAGCAGGAGAAGAGGCATATATTGAACAGCTGTAGTTACTATTAATAAATCAACATGATCCTGGTTCACACACTTTGAATAATAGAGACCGTCTCTTAATAGCTGTAATTTCTTCTGTTTCCCCAATTGTCATTTTTGGAGTTTACCAGCCAGTTTCAACAAAGCCATGTAAGTCTTGACTGACATTACTTCAGAAGCTAGCCAAGATTTATTCACAATAAATCAGCCATTAAAAATGTCTATTTTCAAATTACAATAAACTAATTTCATAGATGCGCTGTGTAATGGATCCACAACAAGACAGGCAAAATTCCCAGACTTCCAGGCATAGTCTCTTAACCAGTCGCATCCATCAGGGCTGCCTAACAATATTAATGTGGATGTCTCAAGAGAATTAATTGTATCCCATACCAAGCAGAAATTGAAAAAACTCAATTTTTCACAGTCATTATTACTCCCCTTCTGCCCTTCCCCCCTTGAATGCCAATCAATTGACATTTATTTTAATTGGAAGGGTCAAAAGCCAATTTTATTTTTTAAGTCCAGCACTCTGAAATCAAATTTTGTGGAACAAAGCCAAGAGTGCACAGTATGCTCAGAACAAAAAAGCTGCCTTTTTGCAAAGCTGGTCCAGTTGTAAAAAAAATAGAATAAAAAAAAGTTTCCTTTCAGTCAGACAGTCCACATAAAATTCACAGCATGAAAGTTATATGGGATAGTGTAAATATCTGCAAACAGCCTTTTTTCTTATACACCAATCTACTCTGCTCTCCTGAGGCCCCACCTGAACTACTGTATCCAGTTCTAAAGCTCCCAAAGAAAGAAGGACATGGACTTGCTGGAGCAAGCCCAGAAGAGGGCCACAAAGCAGACAAGAGGGCTGGAACACCTCTCCTATGAAAGCAATTTGAAAGAGCTGGGGTTGTTCAGCCTGAAGAAGTCTCCAAGGAGACCTTTCTAGCAGCTGTTCAGTACCTGAAGATGGCCCCAAAAAGGTGGAAAAGGACTTTTTACAAGGGCATGTAGCAATAGGATGAGGGAAATGGTTTGCAGTCTACAGCAATCTGACTTCACACTGAGGCAGTCACTAATGAACTGTAAGGCAAGATGCATTTAAGTTCTCAACCACACACAGAGTTTTTCAGCAAGAAGCTCAAATATTACAAATAATAATTCTTATCTTTTTAGTTTCAAAACATATTTTCCTTTCTTCAATCAGTTAAATGTCTTCCTCTTAGTTTCTTGCTCTCTCTCTCCTTTAAAAAAAAGTCTCAATTGCTGTTTTTTTACTGAAGCTGCAAAAATTTTTAGCCAAAGACCTGTTCAAGACCACAGCTCTACATTAGACTGTTTTCCTTTAAAATAAAAAGACATATGAAATTGATTTTCAGAAGATCAAAACCTTTAACAATCTATCAGTGAAGCCCTCCTCAAATAAATAGTAACCCATCCCATCAAGCTTCTTCACAAATTTGATCAAGTAAAAACAAAAAAAGAACTCTAGGATCATATATGTAAATTTCTATTTAACACCAATAAAAAAGGACCATCTATTACCATTCTGTCCCAGCACATCCTTGAAACATAAGCACCTGTTCCTATATTTCAGTGAAAATACTCACACAGCAGAAATATAAGAATTCAGCCATTCTTGTCTTACTAAAAGTGCTTACCCCGTGTATTAAATATATTCCACTGGCAGTAATTGATCTTACAGCACTTCAGTTAAGTCTGCAAGATGTTTAACACATAAAGGAGCCCAGTTCCCTCATGTAGAGAAGGATTCAATGTTAGCAGGTAGCAGCTGCCAGCACTTCGATACTGTTATTAGAAATGGTTTAGCAGCTTATACACACAGCATTGATGTGCCTTCTGGTTCAGGCATTAGTAGGTAGATCACGCACTTGAATCACTCTGTGAAAGGCACCGTAAAATAGAGCTGGGGTCTGAGATCTTTTTAATCACTGTAAATGCAGAGCAGTTTCATTGACCCTTATGTTTAAAGTCGATGTGCTAGATTTACTCTCAGGGTCCTCTAACACAGTTCAGGAGAGAAAAGAGTGACGCATGTTAAATAACAAGAAACTGAGCTAAGAGGAGTATTCTTTGGAAAGGCAGATTGGTGGAACCCATACAAAGAGAAAAAAGCAATTAATGTCTATACTGTACATCACTCCCACTCTGATTTTTTTTTTTCCATGTGAGGAATAAAAAGTGAAGAATCATAGAATCACAGAACAGTTTCAGTTTGAACAGACCTTAAAGATCATCTAGTTCCAACCGGACATGTCCCACTAGATCAGGTTGCTCAGGGCTCCACCCAAACTGGCCTTGAACATTTCCAGGGATGGGGCTTCCACAACTTCCCTGGGCAATCCGTCCCAGTGTCTCACCATGCTCACACTAAAGAATTTCCTCCTAATGTCTAACCTAAATTTCCACTCTTCCAGTTTTGATCCATTACCTCTTGTCCTCTCACTACAAGTCCTCATAAAAAGTCCCTCCCCAGCTTTCCTGTAGGCCCCTTCAGGCACTGGAAAACCACTATAGGGTCTCCCCAGAGTTTTCTCCTCTCCAGGTTGAAGAGCCCCAGCTCTCTTGACCTGTTTTTATAGGAGAGGTACTTGAACCCTCAGATGATCTCTGTAGCCCTTCTCTAGACTTTTCCCATGAGCTCCAAGTCCTTCTTATGCTGGGAGTTCCAGAATTGGACACAGTACTCCAGCTGGGGTCTCATGAGGGCCAAGTAAGGGGATTACGTTCTTCTTTGACTAGGCCTATGCTATTACACAGAACAAAATGGGAGCCATTAGTTGATAGAACTAAGAGGAAAACATGATGCAATAGCTACATGTTGTGTGCAGCACATCAAAGCCAATGAGCAGCAAGACTTTCCCCTCATCTGACCTAGTTCTGTCAAAGATTCACACATGGAGATAGTGGGTGTAGAGGTGACACATGAAGTATCTTTAAAATTTTTGGAAGGCAACAACTGACAGTGAGAAATACTCAAGACCTTGATGGAGAAAGGAAAGCTAGCTGAACTCTATAAAAATCAGACAAGATAGTAGAAGGCTGCCCAGAACTCTAAGTATACAAGAAAGTGAACAGATTAGAACCAAGCCATTTTACAAAAAAAAAAAACCAAACCAATGCTGGAAAAAAAAGCTCTAGAAGGATGGCTGGTTTCAAGCTAAAGCTACCTGATACTGCAGGTACATCCTATTTAAAATAAGATACAAATTTAAAATAATCTCTTCCCCCTCATCTGACCTAGTTCTGTCAAAGATTCACACATGGAGATAGTGGGTGTAGAGGTGACACATGAAGTATCTTTAAAATTTTTGGAAGGCAACAACTGACAGTGAGAAATACTCAAGACCTTGATGGAGAAAGGAAAGCTAGCTGAACTCTATAAAAATCAGACAAGATAGTAGAAGGCTGCCCAGAACTCTAAGTATACAAGAAAGTGAACAGATTAGAACCAAGCCATTTTACAAAAAAAAAACAAACCAAACCAATGCTGGAAAAAAAAGCTCTAGAAGGATGGCTGGTTTCAAGCTAAAGCTACCTGATACTGCAGGTACATCCTATTTAAAATAAGATACAAATTTAAAATAATCTCTTCCATTACCCTGCCCTTTTTTTTTTTTTTTTTTTTTTTTTTAAAGCAGCATGTAAAATACTGCAGAAACTTGGTATAATTGCAAAAAAACAATCCCATTTGCTGGGTTGTTAATGTGAAATGTTAATGACTGCACTGTGACAGGTGCAGCTTAGAAAGGCATTTTCCCTAAAGAGTTTTAACATAAATGCAATGCAGAATAGCAGAAATAAGGAGAAAAGGCTCAAAGAAACATTAATTTTGCATTAGACTATTCTAAAAAACTAAATACAAATTATGCCTAATTAACTGTTTACTCAGACATTGGTATCTGGGTAGACTCTGTACAAACAGTTGAACAGGTTGTGCAGGAAGACTGTGGAGTTCATCCTTGGAGCTATTTAAAGTAAGAAACCACCTCTTCCTTTGTTGCCTATTCTTCCAATTACACCACAGGACTATGGTAATGACTACATAAAACACACATACATTCCTGACCACCCCAAAAAATAAGTTTTGTTTGTTACCTCTTACCGACAGTTATTTTGACAGTTCTTTTCTGAGAGTCCATCCTCATCTTCTCCCACAATATCCACTGCCGAAAATATCAGTGCAACCAGAATTGCAAAGCAGCATACCAGTGCAAAGATCACAATGCATCTTTGCTGGGACTGAAAGAGATTAAGATTAAAAAAGTTTTAATGGTGTGAGCACATTCCAGTCACTGAGCTGAGACTCTAAAACTTTTACACAAGATCTAAAATTCTTTGAAGATCTTATTGCCATAGCTGTCATTATGAAACATATCTCAGGATGAAAACACTCTCAAAAATGTCCTTTAGGTATCACCTTGAGATGTATTTTAAATCTCTGAGATATTGTTAAATAATTCATGTCACAAAAAATAGTCGTAAATTGACCTGTTTTCTGTTTGTACCACAAGCAAAACATTATGTATTAAAATAATCATTCTTACATTAACAACGTCTTTTCTGATTGTGCCTCAGAGGTAAAGTACATACTTCGGGTGGCACTCAAAAACCTTGAAAGTTTTGTTATATTTGGCTGAAATAAAACTTGTCATTGCTGGTAGGCTGAAGAGCAAAGCCTTTTTTTATTGCTACACAAAGTAACTGACATTGTTACTGTGCTTGTCACAGCAACTGGGACACTTTGGTAATTCCTCACCACACTGTTCTTTTTAAGTAAAACAAACTCACAGATGATAGACGGGATTCAAGGAGACAGTGGGACACTGCTGCTCAGAATGATAGGCAATGCTCTCCATATCTCAGATTAAATGTTAAAACATATCACAGCACTGCCTTATTCTACAAGATACAATCCTGCAGCACTAACTCAAATACAACGTGTACAGCCCTAGATAAGTGTGAAAACTCCCAAAGAAAACTTCCTGACATGCTATTGACATAGCTGCATGAAAGTGTATTTTATTCTGAAACCATATGTTTAAACAAATATAACGTGTATTTTTCTCCTGAAGAATATTTGCACAAAATCACACATACATAAAAATATAAAAGTTTAACTTCTGTTAGTTATTTTCTTAATTTTCATTGTTGTCTTGTAATTAAAATGTCACATAAAGAAAAAAAGCTTTATAAAGGAATGGGAAAGTGGAAAAGTATATGGGAGAGCAGGAAAAGCATAAGGGAAAGGAAGTAACATCATGCTTCATAGTATTTCCACTGTTCCTGACATTTTGTTTAAAAAGTAATAAGTTTCAGAGTAATAAGGTTCTCCTGTATGCATAAATAAAAAGTCTGACTTTTTTCCTTAAATAAGCTTCCAAAATTTCCAAACTAGGACACATCCCAGAAAAAAAATAATCAAGCATTTCAGAAAAAAAAAAACAAACAAAAACCAACAACAACAAAACCCCAAACAAAACACAAAACAGATAGAAGCATTTTATTTCAATCTGTGAGAAGATGAAATGCAGCAATCATTTAACCTTTTACCTAACAGTAACACTGAATTTGCTGCTTAGGTTACATGCGTATTTTAAATACAATGTATATTAGATGCTTTAATACGTTTCAAATATATGTTTAAGCCTGTGTTTCCTATTACCTAAAATCTTACAAAAATGCTGCAAAAGAAAATCTTCTTCACAGATTCACAAAGCCTGCTTCTGAAATAAATAAAATGTGAAACTTTTTTTTTTTTTCTGATACATATAATCATGGCAATGCATGAAAATAATTAGAAATTACTGCAATTGGTGTCCAGAAGTAAGGCTGCAGTAAGATGTAGAGTGGGACTGTTGAAACATTGCCTTGCTACTGGCAAGAAAAGCTAAAGATAAAGAGGTATTCAGATCCGGGACACTGCTTTATGTCTGGGTAGCTCCAACTCTTGCTAATACCATTGTCTCAGGCAGTTTTTACAGTTTTATAAATGCATTTGCAGAAAATAACTGATGCAGCTTCTTCCAAGCACTAAGCATATCACCATGGCAGCAAGATAGCAAAGCTACTCCCATACCAGCAAGCCAAAAAGAGCCAGGGCTTCCTCTCTAGCCACTATGAGCAGGGGACATGACCCAGCATAGCCCACAACTCTAGCTAGTGTTCTTTTCCCTCCCAAACCAGTCTAACTGCACCCATTCTACTCACTGGGAACAGTCCTGAGTCCAAATTCTGGGGAAATTTGTAGCAACGAGCATCCTACCCAGCACACAGTGTAACTTACTTCATGCCATTTCTCCATGGAATAACTCCCATCTTCTTGCACACAGCAGAATTACAGAGTTGCAGTGTCATGGGGCGAGCAGGACAGCAGCCTTCAAGGCTGCAGCAGCACACATGGAAGCAGCAATTTTTTAACCAGCTTAACATTTAAAGGCCAAAAGCTATATAAAATCTAAAGTGTATCAAAAATGATATGGTATCACAAGAAGGAGGTAAAAAAAAGCAGGAATAACAGAGGCCCTAATTTCCTTCAATACCACAACATTTTATGGTAGCAATTTCTAAGTGGTTGTGCTCAAGGACTACAGAAGAGGAGATCAAAATAATTCGGAATGGATCCTCCTACTCTAGCTTTAATTCTCAGTTCACAGAAATTTGGGTGAGCATATTCAAGGCTTCTTGACTCCTGTGTTAAAGTTGAAATTTGTACAATTTTTAAATCCCTGTTCTTTTAGTTCTGCATGTGTACAGCTTGTCAAGCTCTGCAGTGTGACTGACTGCTTCTCACTAGGAGCAGCACAAGGTTAGGACCACTAGTCAGACCACTGTTATTCTGCCAGCACTAAAAGAAAGAGAAAACTGTGCAGATCTAATTTAATGGTCTTATTTATACAGATCCTTTATATTAACTAAAAGCAAGAATTACAAGTTTGCAATCATTCTAACCCTACATTTTCAGTCATAGGTTTGATGGGTCAGGTAAAGAATGTTTAAACATTTTTTTAATGGTTTTACAGTTCATCTTGAAATTACACCTTTGGAGTGGTGACTTTTTGATTGGTTTTAAATCTCTATATGACATTAGAAATGTATGTTTGAATAATGCTTAGACTCAAATTTATATTAGAAAACAAAGAATAAAAAATAGCTACTGGCAGCAAACAAGTCTTCTGAGCCTTCCTTTTGACAATGGTAATAAATACCAATTTTCATGCACTAACACCATACTGCAGGCAATTTTCTATTATTTTTTTTTTTAACTAAAATGGATTATAACAGCCCACGTCACTGTTCTATTATACCATCCATGCGTGCCTGTGTGTATATGTGCATGCAGCCAGCATTTTGAAGGAATTCAAAACAGAATAGCTCACGCCATATATAAATTCGAGGGAATCTGTTAGATTTACTCTTCAGGCTCTTGAATTGGTGGGCTTGGGCAAATTGTGGGCTTGATACTATGTTGTTGTGTGTCACTTTTGCATCTGGGGATCCCTAAGAGCTTATCAAACCTAACCTCCTGCTTCCTTCAGTAAATACCAAAAAAAGTCTGTGTTTAAGCTTTCAGTCTTTGACATTTAATTATAGAATATGGGGTTGGGAAGGATCTCTGAAGCTTATGTAGTCCATCTGTCCATATACTTGATTAATTTATACAAATATTACATATAATAGATATTTACCTAACCTGTCCCAAAAATCTCCAGTTGAAAGACATTCTATGATCTCTTCAGGAAACACACCCACATGTTACTACCTTATTGATCTCAACCTTAAGTTTCTTATGCTGCAATGTTTGGTTGTGTTTTTTTTCCTTTCCATACTTGCTGAAAACAGAGAACAGAGTATTTTGTTCCTTCCTGCTGCAGGCTCTAACGTATTTGAAGACTGCTAGAGATGCTAAGAGGCCTGGTCCCAGAGCATCTGCTAGTTTCACTGGACCTGTTACAGGACAACCACGGCTGAGATTTCAGTCTGTGTGCAGATCTATATTCTGTAAGCCCAGAAATTCTATTGCATGAGAGAAAGATCTCTCCAGAGCTTATGGAAAATTGGGAGAGAAAAACCTGCAGGAACAAGGACTATAAAAAATGTTGCTATTTTCCACTTCATGAGCAAAATGTATTTCTTTCACTGGCCTCATCTAGCTTAAACATCACCTGTGTTAAAACAAATCCAACAAATCCACCAAAACACTGCTTTACTAAAACAAAGCATGGTATTTTTCATGCTGTTATACCCCAGCAAAAGCTGTACAATGGGTATGCAGCACAGTACTCAGACTAGCTTTTAATCTGAAAAGGACCCTATCTGTTTGGTTAAGACAAAAGATAGTCTGTGGCAGTTAAGGTTGCATCAGACTGGCCTGTAATACCCAAGTAGAACTGAAAATAAGGGCAGAAAAAGGCCTCCATCTTTACTGCACTTCTGTTGTTCTAAAGCAGTTAAGAACACCCCAATGGACCATAAAGCTCTCAGTTTCTTCACAAACAATAGGTATCTCTGTAACACACTAAATTTAATCAGGAGATTACTTTTCCCTCCATGCAGTACAAAAATGTCCTTCTCTCCCAAACAGGAGCCATGAAACTGTAATGCCATGTCTACTGAGAAAACTGAGCACATACAAACAGAACGTTCCATGGCTTTGAACCAATGCTTCATTTTTACATCTACTTAAAGAATAAAGGTGCTAATATTTATACTGCATACTAATACAGAGTTCATATCTGCTTGTCCAAACCACAGAGGCTCTAAGAGGTAGCTTTTCACATATTTTGTCATAATCAGCAGTCTTCTCTTTCCTGAAACATGTCTGAACAGCAATGTAAGAAAAAAAGCACTCACCTTCAAGACTATTAACCTATTCAACAGCTCTTAAAATTCTGTTTATGAGTGGGGTTTTATGGCATGATACAGTATATTTGCCAAAGATAGCAAGGAACTGGGCTTTTAGAATTAGCAATCATTCTGGGATTAACTTTGATTCTTAAAATCATTACATGCATTTATTAGAGAAAACAAAATACTACAAAGACTGTTTTCCATTAATCTGGAATTCATATAATTCATTGCAGCCTTAAATCTCCCACCTAATATGATTAATATCAATCAACACTGAAGTTCCTATTATGCAAAAATAGGAAGGAATTGATCCCAGAGTGTTAAGTTAAATTGGTTGGGCCTAGTGAGCTTCATCCCTGGGTTTTTAAGGTACAGTCTGAGGCTATCAGAAA